CCTTGCCTGTCTGCTCGAATTAAATGAGTCCCCAAGTCACTCCCTATCTTATCGCCATACTATGAGCTCATCGCAGTAGTGAGATTTGCCTGTTATTTTCTGGCTCATTTGTCTCTTAATTTTTCGGTTAGAAACCTCCTCCACGAAAGTGCTGTTAAGAGTGGAAATGGTGACTTCTTCTCTGTCCCCTACACCTAGGGTACACTGGACCTAGAGTGTGGGCTCAGTAGTCACTGAGTGAATGAATGAACAGCAGGGTGAGTAAATAAGACTTACAAATGCCAGTTCCTGGGAACGTAAGTCAAATTATTTACAGCAAGGCATTTGGAGCCTTAAACATAATAACGCGGATTGTAAGGCTCCTACGTATCTATACATCATATATTCATGTTCCTGGGGATGGTTATGAATTTTACATGTAACCAAAATCTTGAAGAAATGTTTGACTCTCCCTGTGCCTGCTCACCGCCTGGGACTGCACTCTGCTGACGCTCTAACAACTTAGTCTGTACTTGGTGTGCCTGTGTAGCACTGCCTAGGGGTCTTCCTCCCCTGCTGGTACCTGTCCTTGCACTGAGTCTCCATTTGCAGTAGGTTCACTGCGCAGCAGTGGTTGGGACGGGATGGTGGAATGTGGCTTTTCTGAGTGGGACCCTTTGGTACCCCTTGATCTGCATCCTAGAAGTGCACGTTTATGGCTCGCCAACCTAAGTGCTAACTGTTGGCCCGATTCTGTGTGACAGAATCAAATATTGACAGATGCGTCTAGTCTTTGCTAATGATAGGTTTGAAGTGGCTTTGTGACTTTTTTTTCCTGAATGGATGAATCTGTGGTGTAGGAAATTGTGTTAGGAACCGTCCCAGACTCAACAATGGTTCACCTTAATGATGTTTCGACTTTACCATGATGTGAAAGCAATGCACACTCAGTGGAAACCGTACTTGGCATTTTGAATTTTGCGCTTTCCTGGGTTAGTGGTCCGTGGCAGGGATGCCGATCAATGGCTGCAGACTGCAGCTTCTACTCCACAGCAAGATAGTGAGGGAAAGTGACCCACACTCTACCCTGCACTGGAGGCTGGGCTGGGAAGCTCAGTATGCTGTGTGTGCATGCAAGTGGTGGGAGGAAGGGAGGCAATGCATGTGTGTGCACAGGCGTGTGGGAGCTGGGGACAGCCTTGGATGTCATCCTGCAGGAGTGCCATCCACCCTGTCTTTTGAGACAGGGTCTCTCATTGGCCTAGAGTTCACCCACTCATTAGTCTAGACAGCCTGGTGAACAAACCCTAGGAATCCACTTGTCTCTGCCTCTCTAGGATTGTAAACATACACCACCACACCTTGCCGCCATTATTATTGTTGTTGTTGTTGTTGTTGTTACTGTTGGTTCTAGGAATTGAACTTAGGTCTTCAGGCTTGCAAGCATTTTGTTGATTGAGCCATCTCCCAGCCCCATTTTCAGCTTTTAATATTTTCAATTTACAGTGATCTTTTCTGGGAATGGCACCTGTGTAAGCCAAGGAATGTCCGTATTCCTCTGTGAAACTAACTCCAGCATTAATGAAGATGACACATATATTTTCAGATCCTCAAGGTCCTGATCCTTTCCTAGAAATGAGGCCGATGCTTATGTACCGTCACCAAAGCTTGTAGGGGCAGATACTTACTCCAGTCAACAACTTGCCTTACACTTGCCTTACCGTTCCTTCCGGAAGAGATGGGTGCCACACGGTGCGCGTGACAGTCAGAGTGCCTCTGTGTTCTGTTGAAGGTCTGTTAGAGCTGGTCTGGACTAGTTTTCCCCTTGGGCCTAGAACGTGCTCCAGCATGTTTCTCTGCCTTAGTGGGACCTGAACTCCAAAGCCTACTGCTATGTGGCTCTCCTATGTAGTGAACTGGTATTATGTCACCTCCACACAGTCTCTTTTTGAACAGAGTGTATCACCGCACACACACACACACACACACACACACACACACACACACACTGCAGCACACCAAACCTGTGTGAATCATCCCACATTAATCTTAACACAGGCTGGAGAGTCAATCTTGAGAGCAAGCCCTGGGAGCTGCTCCCTCTGACCTTCCAATGTCAACCTGGCTGTGATGTCCAAGGGGACACTCTGTCCATAGATTTTACTCCCCAAACTGGCAACCTCCAGACTCTTCCAGCTAATTCTTAAAGACATTTAAAGTCCATCATGGGATGGTTGCTTCGACATACACATCATCACCTCAAGAACTATTTACACCAAGATTTTACAGACAGATGCCTTGATAAATGTGTTTTTGCTTGCTGTGAATAATTTCTGCCTAGTGCCATTGAGAAAAACATAATTCACATTTCCCATTAAGAAGACGGCAGCGCTGGTGTGCAGAGAGTTGTCAGTTACCTTGTGACTATTCCAGGCTTGATTTGGAAGAAATTGGGCTATTTTCACTCAGAAACTAGCGGTTTAACTTGACTACTTAGAGCACTGTTTTCCACAGCCTAGTATAGCATGAATGAGAGGTAGTAGACAGCTCTTCAGCAGAGACTGTAGGGGACACCCGGGTGTGCCCAAAGCCCCGTAGCTGGGCTCAGAGGGCTGTGCGCTCCCAGGGTTCTTGGTGGAACTTTAGACAGTGCCGGCTCACTGCAGTTCTTCTTTGCCTGGAGCATGAATGGGTCTGGGAATGGGGAAAAGCTGGGGAAGACCTGTGTCACTTGTGTCGAATTGACATGGGTCTTGCTCTCAAGTTAGTGGTGGCAAAGATAAAGATACGCCTGGCCTTCTGGATGATCTGCAGTGAATAACCTCTGCGGTCTCTCTCTCTCTCTCTCTCTCTCTCTCTCTCTCTCTCTCTGTCTGTCTCAAGGGGGCCTCTTGTCCGAGTCTTCTCCATTGTGCATGCCCTGATTTCTGGAATCTGCTGTGTCCTATCCGATGCTGCTTCTACAGAACCTAACGCCAAAGCCATTATGTCCTCGATGGGCGCTTTGTAGAGTAGCATCTGCCAGCCACTGTGAAGTCCTCTCTTCCTACCTGTACCAGGGCTCGGCGGCTCAGAGCTGACAATTCCAAGCTGAAGCATCTTGATGAACAGGGCTCTTATTAATGCTGTTCCAGCTGCTTCGTGCATTCAGTAGACTCTGGGGAGCAGCTAAGGAGCCAAAGATCCCTTAGCACATTGGAGAGTTTCCGGAGAAAGGTTCTGATAGGAAAAACACTCCCCTTAGATTTTTGCCTTGTTTTCAAAAATATTAAGAATTCAGAAATTTGGAGTATAACCCATCGCCAGGTCATACTTATAAACAGATGTGCATCTAAGATCAGAGCATTTATCAGAGGTGGCAGTAAAGCCTTGAGATAGGACATCTACCCAGCAGGCTCGGTGTCCTGGTTTCTGTCCCCAACACTAAAATAAAATACACAAAATCAGAAACATTTAAGAGAAACAGAAAGGGATGGTAAAAACACACAGTGGCCGATGTGACTTAAACCAGGTGACTCACTGTGAGGTGTTCAGAGGTAGGATGAGCTGAGTGCCAGCTTGGCAAGGAAGAGCACTGTGGTTTGTTTCTACGATGCATTGTATAAGTAGATAGGACCAGAAGCAGACACTCATCTTGCACTCTTTGCTCTGTTTTCTTGTTTTGCTGCATGTCTTCACTTCCCCTTTAAACTTTGTCTGTTTATCCTTTCTGTCCTTTTCACTTGGTCTCAGCCACTCCATGTAAGGACATAGTATGCCCAGATGTCCTGAACCCTAGAGGTTGTCCATAGTATGTGCTGGTCTGTTGGGGGAGGTCCTTCTGTGTGTATGTTTGTCTTATTGATTGATAAATAAAGCACTGTTGGCCAATAGGGAAGCAAGTTAGGCGGGACTAGGAAAGAAGGTGGATTCTGGGAAATACAGGAAAGGGAGAGAGTCTCCGTGTGACCCCAGGAAGAGAGGACACATAAGGCCAGCGTCTCGGTAAGATAAGTCCATATAAAAATATATAGATTAGTAGTTATGGTTTGATAATTAAGACTGAGCTAGCAAATAAGAAATCCTAGTCATTGGCCAGCAGCATTGTAACTAATATAGGACTCTGTGTGTTATTTGGGGGCCCCAAAGTGGTGGCAGAACCCAGGCAGCTGGTGGAAAGAACTATTGTTACACTGGTCTAGCATCCTTTGAAGAGCATACACTGTAGATGGGAAGTGTTGGTAGCAAACGCAGAGGCAGTTCAGCCTCCATGCTGTTCTGCACACCATGTTTGCTCATCAGGCTGAGGCAAGGCACTGCACCATGCCTGGGTGGCTGTAGCAACCAACATGACAGGTTACACTATGTTAAATCCTTTCCAAAAACACAGCCAGCTCTTTATTCATTTCCAGTATTATTCAGGAGCTCAACCGTCTGGTAGTGTCTTAGGGTTTCAATTGCTGTGAAGAGACACCATGACCCCAGCAACTTTTATAAAGGAAAACATTTAATTTGAGTGGCTCACTTACAGTTTCAGAGGCTTAGTCCATTATCATCATGGCAAGAAACATGGCAGGGTGCAGACAGACGTGATGCTGGAGAAGGAGCTGAGGGTTCTACATCTTGATCCACAGGCAACAGGAAGTGAACTGAGTCCACACTTGGCATAGCTTGAGCATAGGAGACCTCAAAGCCAGACCCCACAGTGACATCTTTCCTCCAGCAAGGCCACACCTTCTAATAGTGGCGCTCCCTATGAGCTCCTGGGGGCCAATTACATTCAAACTACCACAGATAGGAAGTGTGGTAGGCAGCAAATAAAATTGTTTTGTAAGGTGGTTCCTGCACACTGGGTTCCTCTTCCTGTTATTTTTGTGACATAGGCTGTGAGCTTATCATTGTCACCTGAGTTTGGTGCCAGGTGAGGTACCACATATCTGTTTGTTGTATAGTTTGAGACCAGGGCTGGAAATAAGAACTTCATTGTAAAGCTGTTGACCATTTTAAATTGCAAGAAAAGTAATACTCATCTTTTATTGCAGACTGCCGCCTCCCCCAAATTGAAGATGCCGACATCCATAACAAGACATACAGACACGGAGAAAAGTTAATCGTCACCTGTCATGAAGGATACAAGATTCGGTACCCTGACCTATACAACATGGTTTCGTTATGCCGTAATGACGGGACGTGGGATAACTTGCCCATCTGTCAAGGTATGGGATGGGAGCCGCTGCTGTCAACTGTACTTGCCGTGACTTCATTGTAGAACGCACGTGGTTCTCTCACACAGCAACAGAGATCATGTCAGAAAAATGCAGTCACCTCACCTAGGTCCTCCCTGTCTTTCTGTGACTTCTCTTAGAATCTCATCGCTCCTTATGGTGACTCAGCTCCAGGTTTCCCAGTCTAGACAGGAGAGAGCTTATTCTTTAGTATGTTGGGCATCGTACCCTTCCCATAGAAAACCATAAAAGTAGTTTAAGAATCAGGAGAATTGGGCTAGAAGAGGGACTCAGCAGGGAGGTGCTCGCTCGCCAGCCTGACAACCTGCATCTGGTCTCTGGAATGCCCTAGTGAAGGTAGGAAAGAACCGACCACCGCAGGCACTTTGGCTTGCACATATACATGTGTGTCCAAGTACACATACATGTGTGTGCCCCCACACTCAATGATAACAACAATAACAATAAATTTAAAAGAATTTGGAGACTTTGTAACTGGGCTGTGAACACATGGATGCATTGTTGTCTACTTAATGGAAGTTGCAGGGTGTAATACTTACTGAGTTGTAGAGAGAATCTAGTGAGCCCATCGTACAGGGACTGTTTTTTCTACACAGTGTTATCCCTTTTTATAACTCGTGAAAAGCATAGAAGTAATCACATCCAAATGCTTCCAAACCACACAGTGAATATTTACCCTCTCGTTTTTAGAACCTGCCCCGGCCACCATATACAGAGGAACCTGTTTTTAAAAATAATCCCCTGAGTTCACATTAATTCTGATTTTATTTTTTGACATGTGACTTGGTCTGAAGGACCCAAAAGCCAATGCATAATTCATAATTGGAGGGAGAAGGAAGGCATTCAGATTTGCTCTGGCATGTTCAAGTTGAGATGAATGCTGACTTTGTGCTTGGAAATCACACCTGGCAGGCCCTGGTATTGCTTTGTGTTCCCCATCATCAGCAATAAATTGTTTTCCTACACGAGAGCTCTAGAGTCTCGACCCTACGGAGGAAAGAAGGGGAGATAGAGGAGCCCAGCCGCTGCCACACTCCTGCCCTGTGGCCTGTGCCACTAGCCTGCCCTAAAAGAGATGTGGGTTTTATTTATCTGTTCAGAGACTGCCTACAAAACAAGCAGCTGGCGCCTGGGTTGGGCTGCTCATGCAAATAAACATCTTTAGCCACAGATTCATTCCAGGGCTGGAGTCCCCGGTGAGGAAAATGACCTCTGACTCCAGCCACTCCCTGCAGCCCTGTTTTCTCTACATCCTTTCTGTGTCCTCATGCTCTTTCTAGTTTCCCCTTTATTGCTTAAATACACCGTGTTCCTTAGGAATTCTTTTTCCCCGTGGCCTTTTGGGGTGTTAAAGAGTTCAGATATGTGTCTCTCGGTTGCTCTGTCTGGCCAATCTGGGTCCCTCTCCCTCTCTCAAATTCTGCTCAAGACATGACTTTTCTAGGTCAGCGACTAGAGAGCTGAATGGCTATTCCTTTTGTTTTTCTTTTCATTTTATGGTGTTACCAGGATTTGAAACCAGGGTTTCACACAGGCTAGGTCAGTGTCCTGCTTCTGAGCTATGCCCATATTCCTTTTCACTCCTAATTTTGAAAGAAGGGTCTCGATAAATTCCCCAGGCTAGTCCTGAACTCACTGCATAACCCAGAAAGGCCTTGAACTTGTGACCCTCTTGCCTCAAGTGGCTGGGATGACAGGCCTGCACCTGGTTACACTTAAGATATACGCATCTTCAAATGCTACAGGCCTCAGCCCTGCACTGTCACTGCTCAGAACCTTCCACCCCACCCAGTAGGTGCCTGCCTGTGCTCTGGCCTCAGCCCATCCTGTGCGTTATTGCTGCTGGAGACGCGCCGGCTTTCCTCTGGCCGCCAAGCTGGCACAACACAGGAAGGAGGATCCTAATTCGCTGCAGACAGCTTGGCACCTCTCCGAGCCCCCTGGTGGGTTGTAATTGGCTCTTAAGAGTGACATTTTGTTCTAGAACTTTTATTTGCACCTATAGATCCAGGGGCTAAAGCTCCAGTAGGCATCTCTATTATCTAGAAGTGCAAATGAAAATCCCATTGAGCTATTGAGTGGAAGCCTGTTTCCCACTGTTATATTTAGGATGGGCTGTCTCCAACCAAGAGTGAGCATATCTTTCCCTCTCAGTGCTGATTAGCCGTACAAATTATAGCTCCTGCCATCTCCTCAGGAGGAGTGAAGGGCAGGCTGCTCAAAGGCCATTTTTTTTGGCGGCTACTTTAGGTTTTGGAGAGTGTCTGCCAGCCCTGCTCACTGTGGGGCAGAATCAGTTGTGATTTGGGGAAGACCAGCATCATCTTAGAGCTGGGACCCCATCACAGAGGGAGGACGGGGTCAGCACCACGTCAGCCACCTGAACCATGTAAACATCCATGCTTTCCTTTTGTTCCTGTTGATGGGTTTATCCGCTGTTTCTCAGTTACTGATGCCGTTTCTTCCTGGTTCCCACTCCTCCCTCAGACTCCTCATGTTTTGCTTTTGCTGCAAACATTACCTGTTTTTAGCTCAGGAAAATTAAAAACCATCTAAGAGTTTTTAAGACAGGAGATGACTCAGTTGGTAAAGTGCCTGCAAGCATGAGAATCTGAGGTGGGATCTGCAGGACCGCAGAAACTGGGCTTGGCATGGTGACAAGCGAGCATCTGTATCTCAGTGCTGGTATACAGAGACAGGGCAGTTGATCTCTATGTCAGCCAGCTGAGCCAAGACAGTGACCCCCTGGTACAGTAAAGATTCTGTCTCAAAAGAAGCCAGGCGGCAGTGGCACTCAGGAGGCAGAGGCAGGTACATCTCTGTGAGTTTGAGGCCAGCCTGGTCTACAGAGTGAGTTGCAGGACAGCCAAGGCTACACAGAGAAACCCTGTCTCGGAAGAGAGAGAGAGAGAGAGAGAGAGAGAGAGAGAGAGCAATAAAAGACATCTGACATCAGTCTTCAGCCCCCACGCATGTACACACACACACACACACACACACACACACACACACACACCCACACACACACACACACACACTGAGGTATGAGGTAGCAGGAATCGAGAAACCCATGAGATGGAGTAAAAAGATGCTGAGTTCTGCTGCTTTGAGGGGTGGGGGAAGGTTCTAGAAACATCCTGACTGGTTGTGGGTCAGGGCCTGTTCAGATTGTTTACCTTTGTGGCCTAAGGCACAGCCGTGAGGTAGGTACCACACAATTGCAAGGGTGAGTGACTGTGTCTGTCCTTAGTTCTGCATCCCTGGTGCCTCTCTTGCCTTCCCTCACAACTTGCTGAGAGAGACCCTCAGCAAGGGAATGGCGCACACAGAATTCCGTGCCATTAGGAATGGCATGGTCTTCAAGACCTGAAGGCGGCCAGTGACTTACAAGTTTCTCATTTGTTCTCCGACAGCACACAACTTGTTCTGTTTGGAGTGCGTGCAGAGCCATTACAAGGCAGTGTGCTTCTCAGAGGGTCCTCCCACCTGGCCACTAGCAATGCACATCCTTGGACTCCACAGAGACCTGCTGAGACTTCAGACCTGGAGCCTGTCTATCAAGCCCTCTGGGGGAATTCTCAAGCTTGAGCACACTTTAAGACTCTTGACCTATTTCAAGAGAAAATAGATATCAGATATCTAGAAATCTAGTAGTGCCAGCCTAAGCAGGATTCTGGCCTGTGTTGAGTTTGGAACATAACCTGCCCAAGTCATAGACCCCTAGCTCTTGTAAAGTCTGTTTCCTCCTAGAGGGCCCCAGTGGTCCAATGTCACCTTAAATGTCATAGGGAGCTTCATAAGCATGTGACCCCCCAGGCTCTCCTCCTGGGCATGGGGCCTGGGCACCACCGGTTTGTAAAAGCCCCTCCCGTCTTGCTGAGGTTCCATTTGGGACAGCTTCACCTGGCTATGGATGTGCCAATCCATATGTTACTTGCCTTCCTTCTTCCCGCTAACCCTGTAGCCAACCCTTGTGGTACCATTTCAAATATACCAGCAAGCATCTGTCTCCACATAGCCCAAGTCTTCTTGCTGACGAACAATCCTGAAGAGTGCCATGGCAGCCCAGGGAAACCTTTCCTCTTTTCCTTTCACATTTCACAGGCTGCCTGAGACCTCTAGCCTCTTCCAACGGCTATGTGAACATCTCGGAGTTCCAGACCTCCTTCCCCGTGGGAACTGTGATCGCCTATCGCTGCTTCCCTGGATTTAAACTCGAGGGTTCTGAGTATCTCGAATGCTTACACAACCTTATCTGGACGTCCAGCCCACCCCGGTGCCTTGCTCTGGAAGGTAACACATATTAGTCTTTTGGAAGTGGGAGGCATTTCCTTACGGCCAGCAGTGACTTTTGCTTGCCTGGGTCCAGATCATCCACTGCCATTAGACATTAGACTGACCCTCCCCCCTGACCCACCCGCCACCGTTCTCAGATTTAAGGGGAAGAAGGGAAATAAAAGGAGTTGAAATAGTCAGATGTCACATGGCAAAACATTGCAAAGTTAAATGAAATGCCTTCAAAATTAATTTTCTCTGCACCAAATGACAACAGACAGCATTGTGGCACCATCCGTCTCGGTCTCTCCCCTCATTTATTGTTGTGTCAATGTTTCTCCCATTTTCCCATGCATTTATAGCTTAAGCCATAAATGTTTGGCTGTGAGACACTCTTGGAAGTCGAAAGCAAGAGCCATCTCTTCCCTGTTTTTATGACATCTGTGTGGTTATAGGGCTTTGTTGCTAAAGACCAGTGATCAGAGGCCTGTGTTGGTGGGGTCTGGGAAGGCTGGCCTTCCATTTCCAGAATCAGGGCAGTGTCCCGGGGTTCCAAAAACCCTCTGCCACTGAAGCCTAACATTCGGCTTCAGCCCTGGTTTATCTCTGGTCTTGAAGTTTCAATGGATGTGTTTCTTACATCCGAACAGATGGGTGGGAGAGGAGTTCTATGAGAAAATGGCGGTGGGGGGCGGGGTGGGGGAGCTTCTGTTCCAGAGCCCCTTCCAAACCTGTCCAAAACCTAACTCCTCCAAAACAATAGCATGTCAAAGCAAAGCAGTACTCCCAAGTTTACAGAGGCATAGCTTACTGTTTCCTGTTGCAGCCATCCGGAGGAGTGGGCTTGGGAGTTTGCTGTGGGGAGTAGAGGCTGGCAGAAGGGGAGTAGAGCAATGAGAGAAAACTTTTCTAAAGAGAAGACAGACAGAGAGAGGGCGTGGCCAGGACCATGGCGCCTCCCCAGAGAAGAGTTGAGGAACATGTGGGAGGGAGGGATGGCCATGCCATGCCATTCATCTTGTGGCAGTCCTAGGCTATCCCTTAAAGTCCCCACACGTCTCTATCTCCCACGTAGTCCAGATTTCACAGGGCCAGAGGCCAGGGTAGAGGTGTTAACATTGAGACACCCTGGTGTACTTAAATTGCTTATAACAGATAAGTTGTCAAAGATAGCTTTCAGTGTGTGTGTGTTTACTCTGAAATAGAGTTGACTATTTCCTACCTCTGTTAAAGCTGGCCAGCCTAGTCTCCAGAGGCAAGGTCACCCCTGTTTCCAGTGTAGTTAGCCCTCCATTGTCCACATACTGCCTGTGGGCCGTGGTGAGTGTGGGCTGTCATGAAAGGGCCTGCTTTCATAGTTCCTGGAGGATTTTCCCTATTCACAAAAACCAGAAATCAAGGGTAGTTTGAAGATATTGTTATGATTTTATCAATTTGAAATGCCTGTTTTAGGATCTTTTCAAATTTGCCTTAACTGCATTTCAAGTAGTCAGATTCTGTAAGCTTCATTTGGGGACTTGGAAAGCAGCTTTTTATGGAGCCTAGAGAATACGGTATGGATAGACATAAAACAAAATCTAACTTCAAGAGGCAGCGCTCTAAGGTTATAAACAGAGAGCCATCAGAGCTATGGCTGAAAACGGGCCCCACTGCTGAAGAACACATGCCCTGTTTCTGTTGCCAGTCTCAGCTCTGGCCAAGGAAAGATCTGGAAACCCTTCAGGTGGCTGCCTGTGCCAAAAAAGGCCACTCAGCGCCTCCCCCACCATTTAAATAACTTTAGCATCTTTGTTTTTAATGCCCATCTCTTCAAAATAATCATGGAAATTGTTTATGAGCCCTTTCAAAGCATCAGAGGCCAGACGTATAAAGGCTACAAGTCTAAACCCACAGACAGAGTAAGTCAAGGGTTACCCCATACTCGGGACCACACAGAAACTCAAGCAGGCAGCGATCAGACACAGTGGTGCACACCTGTAATCCCAGCTATCAGCAGGCTGAGACAGGAGGATTGAGACTGAACAACACAACAAAATTTTATCTGTTAAAAAAAAAAGTAAAAATGAAAGCACTGGGTTAAATAAAATACAAAGATTCATGAGAAAGTCATCCAGGGAGTGACAGTTTTTTTCATTCTTCCTTCCATTTTTAAACATTGGTACATTGCTTGTTTATCATTGCCTCCTAAACAGCATAGGTCAGCATTCCCTGGTAATCTAACCCTTCACACGTCACCCACCTTCCCCCTTTGATTGTCTTCGTGGTATAGTAAGACCTACCTAACTGTGCTATGTATCTCGTGCTGGGGGAGGGGGGACACTGTTAAATCCGTTGGCTCCTGACCCCAACAGTGGGTGGATGTAGACAAGCAGAGCTGTAAAAAGCTTTCCCCAACCTCCCACCATCAGAGGACCTGTCACACATACATGTCACTCCAGCTGTCCCCGAACTCAACCTGTACTCCTAGTACCCTGGGTTCGATCCCCAATACCACATAAAATTGGCATCTTTTGTAGGATGCAGGTTGTCACACCTGTATCCCGGCACTCAGGAGGTCAAAACAAGAGACTCCGGAGTTCAAGGCCACCCTGAGCTATGTGGTGAGTCAAGGCCAACCTTGGCTAAATAAAATTACATCTCAAAAATAATACAATGGGACTGGAGACTTGGCTCAGTGGCTAAGATCACACACTGCTCTTTAAGAGGACCTGGGTTTGGTTCCCACACTTACATCAGGTAGCTTACAACCACCCATTGCTCCAGTTCCAGGGGAATCCTTTGCCTCCAGTCTCCACCTACCTGCATGCACACACACACACACACACACACACACACACACACACACACACACACACACACAACATATAAAAAAAAAAATAAATAAAAAAAAACTAATTTCAAATAAAAAATATAAACATAGTGAGAAAAATTAAAAAATAATGGAAATCTTAATAGCATCTTGAATAGAAAGTGGTATTGATCATACTTCATGGAAGTATAAGGCTTCAGTATGATAACAAATTCAATTTCTCTCTTTTTTGTTTATTGGGGTTTTTGTGTGTGTGTGAGATAGGGTCTCTCTGTGTAATGGCCAGATTTAATATTTTTAAGGAAGTGCACCTAGTGTTAGTCAAGGGTCTACCATAACTCTTAGATTTAGGTATAAAGTCACCCTAAATAAATTATGACTGAATAAAGTGTCCAGGTTCTAAGGCTCATGTGGCATGACACTATTGGGTTGTTCAGGAGCTCTCTGGCTATCTGCATATTCTCAGCTGTGTTTGGAAATACCTTATGTTAACAACAGACAGTCAACTTTGAGAGCTGACGAGCTATGTGCAAGGCTCTTACCACCGTGTCCTTTGGCCCTTGTGACATCTCTTTTCTGCTCTCACCCCCATCTTGATGATGAGCAAACACAGGCTTCTGTAAGCTCAGTAACAGGTTGAGTACGTGACGGACCTGGTCTGGGCCTCTGTCATTTGAAGCCATGGGTCTTGTCTCATTAATTGGTACAAATTGCCTTACAGTCTAACAGAAAGATGATTTGATATTTTATAGTCATTTTTGAAGTAAAGAAATCAAAATAATTGCTGCATAGGAAGGAATTTGTCTTTCTAGTCTAGTTGCCCCCTAGAGATACGCTGGAAGGAGGCCCCTCTGTGCTGTTGGATTTACCAGGTATCCTTGGCTACAGGGGAGCCCTGTTTCAGTAAGGGAGCGAGGCAGAGATTGTTGGTCCCTTTCAGACTGAGGCAGTGACACCTTGGTGGATGGCAGGACTTGTGCAGACCTGCATACATGGCCCCTTCTACCACATGGCACCGCTTCTCCCTCGTGGGGTGAAGATCCAACGTCTGAGTGACCTCATCGTCAAGGTCAAGCTTTATGAGGAGGTGATCATTAGAAAGGAAAAGTCGTGGTGGTGCCATAAAGGGTTTCAAGGACCATTCCGAAGGTTGTGCATTTGAAACCCTGCACTGTTAAACTCCTCTGACTGACAGGGGACACATTCTGGAAGACACCTGTGTCCCCAGGTTTATAGCATGTGATTTAGCCTCTGAGAACACAAAGCCTTAAACCACTGCTGAAGCAGATGAATATGTTGGTCTGTTTGGGCAAGGAGGGAGCCTTTATATGTCGGCATCTCTTGTAGGTCTGTGTGTTTGTCCTCGTGTGGCCGCATCTTAATTCTTTCTCTTCTCAGGCCCTTTAATCTCTGCCACTGTCACCTCTGTCTGTCTCTCTCCCATGCATACTTATGCTGAATCCAAATCTTATTTTTGCAAAACATCTTCATTAGTGAGCGTGAGCAATCTCTCACTTCTGGGTGCCAAGAACTCTACCACCTCTTTACTGAACACTCCGAGGCCCAGAGCAGCACTGGCCCAGGCACCGGGGAACTGCAAGGAAAGGGAAGGACATAATTCAGTTGTTTGCAGAGTTGACAGTCTAACGGGGAGAACAAGACAGACCTCACCATCCAGAGAGCTGCATTGTTGCTGTAGCCTGCACATCCACACACACACAGCTACTGCTCTGGGGAGGGCTCGGAGGTGGGGACAGTGGGAGACACCACAGCTGAAAAGTGAGATTTCTACCTAGAGACGCCTGGCTCATTATTTCTCAGACTCTGAGCAGGAAGCTGTACAGAGCTCACCGGGCTGTGTGAAGGCCGTAGTGCATGGAGGATGCTGGCCCAAGGGCTTGAAGGATGGGAGTGTGGGAGGAGAGCGGGGCATCAGACAAGAGAGTGAACTATGCGGGTAGTGGCTCAAGGGGAGCCGGTGGACACACGGTTGAGGAAAAGAAGATAAAAACTCTAGAATCCCTAAAACACTGGGACTGTGTGGAAGCCAGCTGTGTGTGGCTGCAGAAAAGCACTCTCTTTCTCCGGAAGGACGAACCCTCAGAAGGTGTTTAGTGTCTGGAACATTCTCTTGTCATCCAGGCTTCTGCCTGGCCTAGAAGTGGTTTGTGCACTGTGCATATCCAGTTGCAGAAATTTGTGACAACAGTTTTCCCAAATGGTGGATCAGGGACAGAGATCATGTGACCGTGCTTATTCCAGGCAAGTGACAAGGTCGAGAGAACGGATGACTGAAATATGAACTTGGAATTCCGAATCTGTGGCTTATGGCTTCTGCATAATTAAAATCTCCATTCATAGTCTTCACTGTCCCCACACCTCTCTTCCATGTGGGGAAGGACGGGTTTGTTTTGGGGCTTACGCTCTGAGGGGACATGGTGCATTTGATGAGAAGGCACAGTGGCAGGAGAGCGAGGTGGTTAGTCACATTGTGTCCACATTGATAAAGCAGAGAAGAGACCGGAAGTGGGACCAGGCTATGAAATCACAAGGCCCACCCCCAGTTACCCACCAGTTACAGGAAGTTTCTGCCTCCTAAGGTTCCAGCCTTCTGGTTGCACACCAGGTGTTCAGACATTCAAACCACAGTTTTCTATCGCTGGTCCCCCGAAGCTCACACCTCTCTGCTATTTCAAAGGGCATCCAGTCCAACCTCTGAAGTCCCTGCATGATCTTTTAATTGCCCTAACACTGTTCAGTTGTCTATAGTCTCTTCTGAGTGTAAGCATGAGTTTTCTGACCCAGCAGGTGTCACCACCACTTCAGCCCCAAATGAACACACAGAGACTTAGATTAATTATAAATCTTTTGGCCAATGACTAGGGCTTCTTATTGGCTAGCTGTCTTAATTATTAACCTATAGCTACTAATCTGTGTATTTCCTCGTGGTCTTGGCTTACCAGAGAATGCTGGGCCTGCCACTCTTTGCCTGCTGCATTGCGCCCGTTCTGGCGGGCTCTCCTGCTTACCTTTCCCAGACTTCTGCTTCTCGCCTAGTCCCTCCTGTCTTCCTGCCTCATTGGCCAAACAGTGCTTTATTCATCAGCCAATAAGAGAAACGTTGGGCATCGCCCCATCATCTGAGACTACAGGCGCTCTCTGTGAGCCTGCTTTAAGAGGACATCGTAGTCCCTCACGGAAGGGAGGGCATGATGGAGGATGGGTGTAGTGGGGGCTTATCGTGTCACACTGGCTGTCAGTCTCTCACTGCTGAGTCAGAGGACCTGGACCTGCGGTTAGAAATAAAGCGTGGCGCCATGATTCCCTCTGGCAAAGACCACACAATCTGTCAGATCAGGCTTTGAAAAGAAAGACACTCAAACCGGGGCTGTTTGTTGTTTTAATTAAATGCCCGTGAGATTCATGTATTCATTCAGCAAACATTTTTATGCTTAGCTGCTGTGGAGTCTGCAAGACCAAGGGACAAGTTAGTGACTTAAGATCTCTGCTGCTCTGGGATGCCTGTAGCTCTGGCTGCTCCAGGTGAGACCCACAGTCCTGAAGGCAGGGGTGAGCTCAGAATACCCCACCTGTCAGTCATCTACAGTACAGGCTGCCAGCTCTGAGGCCCCGCAAAGGGACTTCCAAAGTGAGGCCTTCCTGGTTCTGAGAGGATTGAGAGGGCTGGTGGGCTACTTGCTGCTGATGGGTCAGAGAGGTTGGTTTGTGTGTCCATTGGATTATCCCCAAGAGGAGCAGGCAGATCGAGCTAGACAGTGGTTCTCAACCTTCCTTACTCTGTGACCCTTTAATGCAATTCCTCGTGTTGTGGTGACCCCCAACCATAAAATTATTTTCGTTGCTACTTCATAACTGTAACTTTGCTACTGTTGTGAATCATAATGTAAACATCTATGTTTTCCGAAGGACTTTGGGGGTCATGACCCACAGATTGAGAACAGCTACTCTATTGCTTTGTCTGTGATGATTTGAGCAGTGGCTGCCCTAGATGGTCAAGGCTGTGTTGGCCTCATGCCTGGCGTTGGTGCCAGGAGCAAAGCTGACTAGACCTCTAAATCATGAGTCCATAGTGATCCCCTGTGCCTCTGCATGGCCCAGCTTACTCGGACGGAGAGAAGGAGATGTAATAAGAGATGGATTCAGTCACCGAGCAAGCTGCGGTGTGGTCTCCTCAGAACTCACTGGTGCCCAGGGACCTTTTAGGTCAGCATTTTTTCATAAGAAAAGGGGGATCAACAAAAAACAGAAGAACCCTGTTTGGCCAAATGTGAAATAACTTGAAAGGTTCCAATTTGAGATCACAGCTCAAAGCCAGCTCGGATGTGGGGACTCATTTTGTAGAGTACTTTGTTCCCAAGTCAAAACACATTCAGGTACCAGAGGCAGCAGCCGGCCTGCCGTGATTTCTCCCTCCAGGAGAAGCACCCAGGGACTTCAAAGGAGAGGCAGCAGGATTCTGAGCATCGGATAACAGGCCTCCTTTGCCTGCAGCAGAGAGCTCCTAGGAGACAGGCTGCCCAGCCTCACACACTGAGTGCCCCACTCTCACCCCCGGGGGGGGGGGGGGGGGGTGGAAAACTGAGAGCAATGGGGATCCAGTCTCTTCCCAGGAATGTGGCTGCCAGTCATGGCCCATGATGAAATCCACTGTCACCAGCTCACTTCTTTAAGCCAGAGGTGGGGTCCCCTGGTTCATGTGTGTCATCTTCTCACCAGGCAAGCCAGGGGGGCTTAGAATCTCTCTCCTTCCTGGTGTCCAAATAAGAAAGGCTTAGATTAGATGTGTAGCTTACTTCTCTATAGAGAATCCCACCTAGAACTTTGAGAACAAAGGAACTGGCAGAAGAAAAGTCACCTCAGGGACATCATGGATCTGACAGCTCCCCTCCCGGCAGAGCCAGGTTTTGACCCCAAGGCCTTGGACATGCCAGGCAGGTAGCTACATCCACAGCACCTAGTTTTTAAAAACAGAGTCTCTTCAGGTAGCCCAGGATGGCCTTAAACTTGATGTCCTCTGCTTCAACCTCTGGAGCATTGAGATTTACAGGCCCGGGCCACCATAGCTGGCTTCCTGATGCTCATTTTGAATTAGGGTTCACCGAAGACAAAGCTGTAGACTTCATCACTACATCTCTCACCCACCCTACCCTGCCACACTCAAATACCTTCTCTGTGGGGATGAATGGGAGCATTGGAGATGGCTTGGCTATGGCCTTGAAGTCTGAAAATGTGCCCACTGAGGTCCCCACACACAGCCCCAGGCTCTGACACTACCAAGCGGCTATCCTGGGGGAGGGCCCACGCCTCTCCATCACCTTCTCCCTTCTGTACTGGCGTTCTTCAGCAGGAGGAAACAGTGCCCCAAAGGTCACCATACTTGGAGTAGCTCCTTGCTAGAATAGAAGCTAGTTCCTCCCCTTCCTTCCAGCCCAGGCGTACCCCAGGCGTATTCTCACACCCCAAACTGCCTTAGATCTCGTGTCATTCTGAGCCACACAGTGGTGCCTTTATTCTGTCATGACATCCCACTCACAGTCAGAAGCAGGTGTGATGGCAGCTGCAGAGGGATCCTGTCCTCCAGGCCTCAAATTGCATCTCTGCTGAATTCACTACTCTGTCTGGACTTGAAGTAAAGCAGAAAGAAAGGTGTAAGAAAAATCACGTCCCAGAGTGAGTGTCCCCTGAAACCTGGGCCTTTTGACACCACACCTTAGCCTTCTAGGACCCAGAGGCCCCCTCCTGTCTGTTCTTTACCAGGGCACACTCTGCCCTGGGAGGGCCCCTCACTTGGGCTGCCTCTGAGGAGTGGGAGGCAGGGTGTCTTTGATTTGGGGCATGTGTGTCCCCTTGGGGAGGCCAAGCAACTCACCATCGCAGTCAGTCAGCCTTGCCTCTCTAGGAGCAGCTGTCCACCCTGTCTGCTTGTGGAGAGTCATCTGAGAAACAGGCATGCCCCCTTGTCATCTTTCTTCAGCCTTGAGGCAATTCCAAGTGATAAGTCATTTTACAGCAAGAAAGCAGGCTGGGGGAACCACTTGGCCTTAGTGCCACCTACAAGGAAGAAGCAGCCCTGCCCCAAGATGGCGCTCTTTCCCTGAACTTCCCGTTGTCTTTCTAGAGGGACTGGCCCCGCCCCAGCCATTGAATGTCCTGTTCTGCACCCGCAGGCACCTTCCTGCTCCGCCACTGTTCTCTGTAGTGTGAAGTTTTAGTATACAAGTTTTTGCAGGTGCTTGTGTTTATGGTGGGGGAGGGGGCTGCAATGGCCTATGATTGTCCCCAAGATGCCCTGCATACCTGCGTACAGCAGTAGGCACTATGGGAGCTCCTCTCTATTCTTTCCTCCCTCTCTTCTTCCCGGGTAAAGCTCCAGTACCAACCAGAATTGTATTGAACTGCGTGGGGCTCTGCTTATTAGAATTCAAGTCTTGCTCCCCTCAGCTGTAGTGATAATGGCAGTGACCAAGCGGTCACCCAGCCCCTCCCCCACAGCTTCCCACCCTCTGAGTAGACCAGCTGGCCGGGGCACAGTCTCCATTAGCCTCTTCTGGCCCTTGAGGCTCCCCGCAGACTCACCCGCCATCCTGGCAGCAGCTGGATGCAGTATCAAATTGAATCAGCAGAAAAGAGCAGTGGGTGCCTTTTTTCCTTCCTCTTTCCCCGACATAGCAGTGGGGCATCTATTCACAGGAAGTGGAAGGAGGCCTTCCGATTCATCTGCCTGCCCCAAGATCCCCTTCTCCACCACGTCACTCTTGACAGAGGCGTCAGGTGATTTCGGATTACTGTCCTCTAGGCTATGAGGCCCAGAGCGGCTCTTAGCAAAAGAGTACTCCCTGTAGCTTTGTCCCAGGCTGTCCCTCTTCCAGCCCGCTCTATTTGACTTTTTTTTTTCACATAGTGTGTTCCTACTCAAGATTTTTTGAAAGAAGAGTTTTGGTCGGGTTTCTTTATGTTTTGGTTTGTTAGTTTGTTTTTGTTTGTTGTTTTGTCTTTTGTGTGGCCCTGGTTGGTCTAGAAGTCGGTCCATAGCTGAAGCTGGCTCCAAACTTGCAGCAAGCCTCCTGCCTCTGCCTCTGAAGTCAAAGTGCTGAGATTAACAACTTTGTGCTACTGCCCTTAGCCATAAAATTCTGGAGAGTGTGCCCTGAGTTCTGCCTTCTGGAGAGTCGAGGAATGGTTTGCTGGGGTCGTAAAAATCCTGGGGCCTCTTCTCAGACTGCCAGCCTTCAGCTGTGCAAGTGATGGTTAATTTATGACCTCAGTCAGGAGCCTGGCTCACACCAGTCAAGGTTGGATGGCATTTTGGAATCTTATTCTCAAAAACAAAAGAATTTTCCTTTGCTTTGAAGGCAAGGATGTGCTTTCTGGGCCTGGGAGTGAGGAAATATTGGGCTTGTTCCACGTTAGGCATGGGCTCTTGAAGTCCTGTCTGAACTCACAGGTCATTGTGAGCACAGATGCTCTGGTCTGGACCACGTGCTACTGATGTCATCCTTTGTAGCACTCTGTACCCTCACAGTGAAATACCTGTCGCTGGCACTATCTGCCTGACAGCCTCCTTGCCAGTGACCCCGAGGAGGTATTGTATTAGCAGGAAATGCAAACTTGCAAGCCATCCTGTTAATTTATTGTTCGTAAGCCATAGTAAATTATCCTAGCGCTTTTTCCATGCCCTGCTCTACACAACAGCAGAGTGATTATGAGAAAATAGCTGCTTGCACACCTGCTGCACCTGCAGTCTGCACAATTGCTGCACCTAAGATTTTCTTCCTTTCTAGGATGAGTTATTGCCAGTGATGCCTTCCACGTTCCTCAGTCACAGAAGCTTGTGCTTCAGAGAAGCTTTGCCCTAAAGTTGACAACAATCTCCTCCTCCTCCCCCACCCTCTCCTCCTCTCCCACCAACACCTCCTCCCGGCCCTCCCTGTCCCCCTCCTCTTCCCCTTCTCGTTTTATGCCTATGTTGAATTAGAAACTCTGACCTTTTTCTTTAAAAAAAAAAAATCACTCTGGGGCTGGAGAAATGCTCAGTGGTTGACTGCTCTCCAAAGGGGCAGGGTTCCATTCCCAGTGGATCATAACCCTTTGTAACTGCATTCCCGGGAGATCTGATGCCCTCTTCTGGCCTCCTCGGGCACTGCATGCTCATGGTGCACAGATATGCAGGCAAAACGCCTATGTGTATTGAAACACCACACACACATACACACACCACATACACACACACACACACACACACACAAACACACACACTCACACATATATACGCGCACACACACATACACATACACTCACACACACACACACACACCACACACACCACACACACACCACACACACACACAGACACACAACAAGAACTTTGCTCTTCCTCCTCTTCCTGTGGACCCACCATTCACTAGCCTGCCTTGACTCCTTTCTTCCCTTTTGTCCTGTGGAAATGTGATCATCAACCTCCATCTCTCCTGGACTTTGACAATGAGATGCTTTTCCTTTTAAACTTCATTTAGGGGAGAAACTTCAAGTGAGGTCAAAGGAACAGATCAGGTGGCTCTTCCTCCCGGAGAGGACCCCAAAAGAAAATCGCCCTACCAGACCAGAGCCTGCCTCCTCACAGCCCATCCCTCCCCTCTCACCTGGCGGGCCACTTGTCCTGCCATTGCTGTTTGGGGCAGATTCGGGAAAGCTCCCTTTGCCATGTTGAGGGCTCTCACTAAAATGCCGCTCTGCCATGGCCCCACAGTGCGCTGCGTCTTTTCAGCTCTGCAGATGGGCAAGCCTGTGTTTTGCAGGGCTTTAGTGTCAGCTCCCTGGAAGACGCAGAGAGAAATCGTTGTCTGTGACCAGTGCTTTGAGCCCCTCCCAAGAGGGGCGACTTCATTATGCTCGGGATATAGATGGCCACTACAAGTGGGAAACTCTCCATGTTTGTCCTTAAACCCTAGGACCTCCCCAGCCCTGCTCCAGGCAGAATTTATTTCCTCCTTCCCTCCCTAGGACGTTAGATGACTTGTATTTCATAGTAATAAAACCTCTTGCAATCAGGTACAACACAGAAAGTAATAAATTCCCCCCATCACCATCACTCTGGGGCCGTGCTCGCCTGGCAGAGTGCTTTGGGGTCATTCCTCCTGGTTGTTTTCTTCTCCTTCTCTTTACTAGCTCCCACCCCGACCCCATGGCCCTTCATGAGCCACCACCACAGTCGCCCTCCCCTTCTTCCAGAGGCGCTCTCCAGGGTGGGAGATGGAAGAATGGCCCACCAGACCCTGTACACCTTGCATTTTTGACAGTGCCTTTGGTCAGCCTAGAGATCACAGAGAAGTCAAGGCCGGCTAGGCAGTGTGCCCTAAACATCCACCTGTCTCCACCTCGCTCCCGCTCTGTGGGCTCTATTTATCAACTTGTGCAGCTAGCACTTTACTGTCAGGCCTGTCTCTCCTGCCCAGCCTTTGTTTGTTTGTAGACAGGGCCTGTTACAGTTTGAATATGGAATGTTCCCTGTAGGCAGGCCCGTGTGTGTGTGTGTGTGTGTGTGTGTGTGTGTGTGTGTGTGTGTGTGTGTGTGTGTGTTTGAATGCTTGGTTCCCAACCAGCAATCCTGACTTGGAAGACAGCTGAACTCTCTGGATGTGGGCCCAGCTGTCAGATGTAGGACCTAGGGTACAGCTGAGTGGGGTGTACGCTGGATGTGCTTCCTGCATAAGCTCTTAGCTTCCTGACTGCTGAAGCCAGGCAACCAACTGCCTGCCTTTGCCACTGCCATAGCTGCAAGCCACTTCCACCATGCCTTTGGTGCCTGGGTGGGGCAGGGGGCTGTATCCCCTAAACCAGTAGTTGTCAACCTTTCATAGCAATTGCCTGAGACCACCAGAAAACACAGATCTTTGCATTATGATTCATAACAGTAGCGACATTACAGTTATGAAGTAGCAATGTAAATAATTTTATGACGGGGGGGGGGGGGCACCACAACAAGAGGAACTGGATTAAAGGGTCGCAGAGTTAGGAAAGCTGAGAACCAATGCATAAACCGTTAAAAGAAAATTCTTCCTCTCTTTTGCTGTTTCTGTCAGAGCAACAGGAAAGCTCGCTACACGGGGTCTCACCATGGAACCCAGGCTGACCTTTAACCTCATCTCTTCCTGTCTCAGCCACGAAAGTGCTGTGGTTACTGGCAGCCCTAGCCACCCAGCTTTCATTTTCTCCTTCTATATGGGAGGTCTGGTCCTATAGAAAGATCCTGCCTGACTCTAAATGGCTCCCAGCTTCCTGTGACATGGAAGAATTTGGAGAAGACATTGTCTTCCTTGTAGCTCCCATTCCTCCTGGAAACAGGTGTGAAGAAAAGTCTAGGCTTTGGGAACATTCCAGATGCTTACTTTGTTCCTCAATGGGTAAGAACTCAGTGCAGGGCTGGGGAGATAGCTCAGTGGGTCAGACGCTTGTTGTGCAAGCATGAGGACATGAGTTCAGCATCTCCATACCAGCAAGATGCCGTGGGGTAAATCTATCATCTCAGGACCAGGGTGGCAGGTGGGAGGTAGACAGACTGATCCTGGGACTCAGTGAAAATGGCAAACCCCAAGTTCAGTGAGAGACCCTATCTTTACAAGGTGCAGCACGATCAAGGCATAACAAGCCCTGCTCTGCAAACTCCTTGTCAGAATTAGGGAGCTAAGCACTCACGAGGCCCGTAGTAAGTTGGAGGCTCCCGCATGGTAGGTGCTCATTGAATGTGACTTTTGCAATCACCACTGGAATTTTCTCTTATTTCTCATAATGTGGCTAAAAACATCAGCTGCCTCTTTTTCTTGAGTATCTACTTTCGAGCCGGACACCCTGTGCTTGCTCAGGACACTCTGTGCTTGCTCAGTTACAGGGTTGCTTCTTATTCTTACAAAGTCCCTGCAGATGTAGGCATTGCCATCCCTGTTCTTCAGATGACAGAAACTAAAACTCAGAAAGGAAGTGAAAATCAAGTGCATGAAATGAACATAAAAACAGAACGGAAAATCCCCAAGGTCCAGTGGTTCCTCAGGATCTGAGCCAAGACCTGAGCCCACGGCCACTCCCATGGTACCAACAGCAAAGCTGCCTGGAGACTCATTACACCTCGATTTGCTCTGTCTTCTCTGTTTCTCTTCTCTCCAGTTCTCTCTCACACTTTGTTCTTCTCTATTCTTCAGTGCTCCTCAGGGGTTGTTCATCTGTCATAAAACCACAGTGCTTTGCACAGAATAGTATATGTGCTTTTTCTCGAAGAAGACTGGTACACCTCATTCTAACATGACTCGTAGAAGCACTGTGTACAGACTGAGATGTAGCTGTTTTCCATGTGTAACCTATGACCACATCCAAGTGTGTGTGCACACACGTGTATACACTCACGCAGGGCCAATGACCGCCCCTGTCATCATATTCCCTCATCTGCTGGACTTTCAGTAACATCAGAACAAGAAAGCACCCATTTTTAAGGAAAACAGAAATGACGGCACAAAAACTCAAGTCTCAACTTGAGAGCCTGAGACGAGAGGATCAAGAGTTGAGAAGCAGCTGGGACCATAAGGCAGACTCTCCTGGTGGGAGATGACCTTTGACCTTGATAGCTGATAAATGCTAAAGGATTAGAAAAGCATCGATTGCTTTCTTGACATTACTTGTTGCCTGCTGAGCCTGTTTC